ACAAACGGAGCTGCAAGGACTGCGACAAGGTCTTGTCTGAACTAGAGACCATCGACGATGACACGGACAGGTTCGGCGTCCACTTCGTCAAGGTGGCCGACAAGAAGCTGGCCAAGTCCTACGGCGTCAAGACCTTCCCCGCCCTCTCCTTCTTCAGGAACAAGGAGCCCATCAACTATGAAGGTTAGTCACAAGTTCCGACTCATCTCCCCAGAACTAACACTTGGAGGGAGGTTGGAGTCTTTGGCTACCACCCACGAGATGTGATTGTGGCGGTTTTCCTTCTGCAGGTGACCTGATGGACGAGGCGAGCGTCTTGGAGTTCCTAACGAGCCTGGAGGCCATGGATCTGCCCGACCAGATCGAGGAGGTCAACGCTAAGATCCTCGATAAGATCGTGGAGGAGCAGGAGTTTGTCGCCGTCCTCTTCTGTGAGTATACGGCGCTTCGAGCCCTTCGTCACGCCCTTACTCCCCTACGTAGTGTTTTTCCGTGCTCCAATACGCATTGACTTCGACATGTCTTGATAAGCTGCTTGCAAATGGGCTGGACTGTAGACACGGCTTATTGTAGATTTAGAGTTCTTGAAGGGCTTAGTTTACTTGTATAGTGTAGATTTTCACGTTAATTCGATCTTCTATTAACATGTACGAACGGGTATACACGTTTGAGCAAAGGATTGTGTTATTTTCATGTTGAGAGAACGTCTTTGTAGCGGTGAGAATACTGGAGTCTGTGGATAATATTCACTCACCGGACTTCTGAAGGCGTCTTTATTGAGTAGCTGAAACTTAAAAGACTGCATGACTATGTACTTAGAGTGAGCTTTATTACGTGATATAATGTACCGAACGAGCAACTTGGAGCCCCTGGAACATCTCCTTCCCACCGAGGTATGACGGGTGTTGCTTATATGTAACCTGTATTGCTGCTACTGTGTTACTGCTGCTGCTGTTGCTGAAGCTATTGCTGCTGCTGCTAATGTGTTACTGCTGCTGTTGCTGCTGAAGCTATTGCTGCTGCTGCTGCTGATGTTGGTGTGGCTGATGGTGTGGGTCTGCCAGGCATTGGGTCGCTCGGCCAGACATTTGTCGTTGCCATTTGTCAAAGTTTCTGTTTTGGTCGGAACTCGAACACTATTTATCAACGACAAATTGTCGTGGCTGAAGCAGACTTGGCCTCCCAGTCATCTGTCTTTCTGACGAAGCTCATTAACCGCTTTTACATCATATAATTACAAAAGTTAACTTTTTTAATGTGATAGTTTGCTAAGCTCTTTTGTTTATGTGTTTACTTAAGACGTTGTGGTTACTGTGGCGCTGTCTTGTGCTTGTAGTGTGTGTGTAAGATGTTCTTCAAGGGTGAGGGCGTCTTCCATCTGCTCCTTCTACCCTCACATGCTTGTCACCTCTCCCACATGCTTGTCACCTCCCCCACATGCTTGTCACCTCCCCCACATGCTTGTCACCTCCCCCACATGCTTGTCACCTCCCCCAACATGCTTGTCACCTCCCTCATATGCTTGTCACCTCCCCCAACATGCTTGTCACCTCCCCAACATGCTTGTCACCTCCCCCACATGCTTGTCACCTCCCCACATGCTTGTCACCTCCCCCACATGCTTGTCACCTCCCCCAACATGCTTGTCACCTCCCTCATATGCTTGTCACCTCCCCCAACATGCTTGTCACCTCCCCAACATGCTTGTCACCTCCCCCACATGCTTGTCACCTCCCCCACATGCTTGTCACCTCCCCCACATGCTTGTCACCTCCCCCAACATGCTTGTCACCTCCCCCACATGCTTGTCACCTCCCCCAACATGCTTGTCACCTCCCTCATATGCTTGTCACCTCCCCCAACATGCTTGTCACCTCCCCAACATGCTTGTCACCTCCCCCACATGCTTGTCACCTCCCCCACATGCTTGTCACCTCCCCCAACATGCTTGTCACCTCCCCCACATGCTTGTCACCTCCCCCAACATGCTTGTCACCTCCCTCATATGCTTGTCACCTCCCCCAACATGCTTGTCACCTCCCCAACATGCTTGTCACCTCCCCCACATGCTTGTCACCTCCCCCACATGCTTGTCACCTCCCCCACATGCTTGTCACCTCCCCAACATGCTTGTCACCTCCCCCACATGCTTGTCACCTCCCCCACATGCTTGTCACCTCCCCCACATGCTTGTCACCTCCCCCAACATGCTTGTCACCTCCCCCACATGCTTGTCACCTCCCTCATATGCTTGTCACCTCCCCCAACTCGCTTGTCACCTCCCCCACATGCTTGTCACCTCCCCCACATGCTTGTCACCTCCCCAACATGCTTGTCACCTCCCCCCACATGCTTGTCACCTCCCCAACATGCTTGTCACCTCCCCACATGCATGTCACCTCCCCCACATGCTTGTCACCTCCCCCACATGCTTGTCACCTCCCCAACATGCTTGTCACCTCCCCCACATGCTTGTCACCTCCCCCCACATGCTTGTCACCTCCCCCACATGCTTGTCACCTCCCCCACATGCTTGTCACCTCCCCCACATGCTTGTCACCTCCCCCACATGCTTGTCACCTCCCCCCACATGCTTGTCACCTCCCCAACATGCTTGTCACCTCCCCCAACATGCTTGTCACCTCCCCCAACATGCTTGTCACCTCCCTCATATGCTTGTCACCTCCCCCAACATACTTGTCATCTCCCCCACATGCTTGTCACCTCCCCCAACATGCTTGTCACCTCCCCAACATGCTTGTCACCTCCCCAACATGCTTGTCACCTCCCCCAACATACTTGTCACCTCCCCCAACATACTTGTCACCTCCCCCAACATGCTTGTCACCTCCCCCAACATGCTTGTCACCTCCCCCAACATACTTGTCACCTCCCCCAACATACTTGTCACCTCCCCCAACATGCTTGTCACCTCCCCCAACATGTCACCTCCCCCAACATGCTTGTCACCTCCCCCAACATACTTGTCACCTCCCCCAACATACTTGTCACCTCCCCCAACATTCTTGTCACCTCCCCCACATGCTTGTCACCTCCCCCAACATGCTTGTCACCTCTCCCACATACTTGTCACCTCCCCCAACATGCTTGTCACCTCCCCCAACATGCTTGTCACCTCCCCCAACATGCTTGTCACCTCCCCCAACATGCTTGTCACCTCCCCCACATGCTTGTCACCACCCCCACATGTTTCTGTTCCACCTACATTCAGCATTTTCCTAATATCCGTTGTATACATATTTCATGTAATGTTTTTTAATCACACGACATTGTTGTTTCATAGTTTTGAACACCAACACTCTGAAAAACACAAAATATATCAAAGTATATGTTAAAAATATACATATGTGCCGTAAGGTGCATATGAACTTATGGTACATATCAAAATACAATTACTGGAACATATGGATTATTTTGCATATTGAGAGTTGGTGTTCAAAGACTTTTCTCACAGTTCATTGGTTGGCTTTTGCTAAATAATGATTTGTGGGGTGGTATCTTGAAGTTATCTTGAGATGATTTCGGGGCTTTAGTGTCCCCGCGGCCCGGTCCTCGACCAGGCCTCCACCCCCAGGAAGCAGCCCGTGACAGCTGACTAACACCCAGGTACCTATTTTACTGCTAGGTAACAGGGGCATAGGGTGGAAGAAACTCTGCCCATTGTTTCTCGCCGGCGCCTGGGATCGAACCCAGGACCACAGGATCATAAGTCCAGCGTGCTGTCCGCTCGGCCGACCGGCTCCCTGGTACCTTACCTTGAGGTTACCTTGAGGTGCTTCCGGGGCTTAGCGTCTCCGCGGCCCGGTCGTCGACCAGGCCTCCTGGTTGCCGGACTGATCAACCAGGCTGTTGGACGCGGCTGCTCGCAGCCTGACGTACGAGTCACAGCCTGGTTGATCAGGTATCAACGTGTAGTATGTGTATGTGTTATGTGGTATGTGTAGGGTTTGGCACCGTTTGGGCACCCTTGACTCATTGGTCTTGGCACCGTTTGGGCACCCTTGACTCATTGGTCTTGGCATCGTCTGGTAGTGCCAGGCACGTACTGCTTTATTACCTCTTGTGTGCTGTGGTGTTAGCCTGTGGCGTCACACATGCCATGTCCGCTCACTGACACGCGCCCATTGACACGCCCACTGACACGACCATTGACACGCCCAATGACACGCCCACTGACACGACCATTGACACGCCCACTGACACGACCATTGACACGCCCACTGACACGACCATTGACACGCCCACTGACACGACCATTGACACGCCCACTGACACGACCATTGACACGCCCACTGACACGGCCATTGACACGCCCACTGACACGACCATTGACACGCCCACTGACACGACCATTGACACGCCCACTGACACGACCATTGACACGCTCTCTGACAAGACCATTGACACGCTCTCTTGACACGCCCACTGAAACGCCCACTGACACACGCCCATTGATACGCCCACTGACACACGCCCATTGACACGCCCACTGACACACGCCCATTGACACGCCCACTGACACGGCCACTGACACAACATCCACCACTCTTGCAGCCAACATTATAGAATATGATGTAAACCCATTATAGGTATACCTTTGTATACTCAACATTATACGGCGAAAGGTCGATTTGAACCTTTGAATTTATTGTTTTTTTTTTTGCATAATCAATTATTTTTTTAATAATCTTTTCTTTCGGATTATATGTCAATAGAAGCTATGCAAATAATTCGGCCTCTTAAGCAATGAACGGAATATATAACCGAACTGTCGCCAGTTATGCTAACTTTATAATTCAGTGTTGTGAACCTGCGGTGTTTAGTGTGTGTGTGTGAGAGAGAGGTGGGGACCAGGAGCTGGGGTCAGGTTGTGATGCACTCACCTCGTCCCACCTCGGCAGGTTACGACGGCGAGGCTTGCACCCACGGGGAACGTAAGTACCACGGTTCTTGCTTCATGCAGGTCGGCGTTCAATCCCCCGATTGTCCATTAGGGGTTGTGGCCACCATTCCTTTCCCACCGTCCCATCCCTGATCTTTATCCTGCCCCCTTCCCTTCCAAGTGCTATATAGTCGTAATGGGTTAATGGCGCTTTCTCCGAGGTAATTCCCTTCCCTTCTTGCTCTGCTGTTTCAGCCAATCATCAATTTCCTGAATGTTGTGGTAGCTTCCTCCCATTTTCTATGGTTTCATTCCGTTTTCTGTGATCTGGCTACGTTTTCTGTAGCTGGGATACATTTTCTGTGAAATGATTTTTTATTTTCTGTGAAATTATTTTTTATTTTCTGTGATTTTTCTGCTTTATTGACACATTTTCGTAGTTTATAACTAATTGTTGTTGATATTATTTAGCCTTGTTTATTTTTATTACATATACAGATATTTTCTTATTTCAGATCATCGCGTTTTCTTTTAAGTTAACCTTGTTTTCCCTTTTTTATGATAGATAAGTTATGATAGTGCTAACAGCCTCTGATGCACACACGTGGCATGAGAACTAATAATTCAGGGATAATATTCTGACTTTACTACATCGCCATGCATGAATGTCGTGAGTAACACTCACTCTCTCTCACACACACTCTCTCTCTCTCTCACACACACTCTCTCTCTCTCTCTCTCTCTCTCTCTGTCTGTCCCTCTCGCTCTCTCTGTTTGTCCCTCTCGCTCTCTCTCTGTCTCTCTCTGTCTCTCTCTCTCTGTCTCTCTCTGTCTGTCCCTCTCTCTCTCTCTCTCTCTCTCTCTCTCTCTCTCTCTCTCTCTCTCTCTCTCTCTCTCTCTCTCTCTCTCTCTCTCTCTCTCTCTCTCTCTCTGTCTGTCCCTCTCGCTCTCTCTCTGTCTGTCCCTCTCGCTCTCTCTCTGTCTCTCTCTCTCTGTCTCTCTCTGTCTGTCCCCCTCTCTCTCTCTCTCTCTCTCTCTCTCTCTCTCTCTCTCTCTCTCTCTCTCTCTCTCTCTCTCTCTCTCTCTCTCTCTCTCTCTCTCTCTCTCTCACACACACACACACACTAATGAGAACATAAACCGTTGAGAGATATGAGAGGGAATCGAGAACCCTTTACTATGGGGGAAGAAAAGCTGGAAACTAGTACAAAAACACAATCAAAGTATGTGAAAAATCTAGGAAAATGACACTGTATCCGGTGAGCGATCCTGCGGGCTATTCATGCCCGTGCCACCTCTTGGGGTGGCTTAATCTTCATCAATCCATCAATCAGAGAGCGATCCTTCCCGGTCTATCTGTGCAAGACGGGGAATTGTTGTTGTTGCTGTTATAGATTCAGCTACTCGAAACAAGTTCCAAGTAGCACGGGCTATGGTGAGCCCGTAACTTACCTGGCACAGGAGCGGGGCAAGTAGCACGGGCTATGGTGAGCCCGAAACTTACCTGGCACAGGAGCGGGGCAAGTAGCACGGGCTATGGTGAGCCCGTAACTTACCTGGCACAGGAGCGGGGCAAGTAGCACGGGCTATGGTTAGCCCGTAGTGGACTTACCCGGCACAGGAGCGGTGCTGTGGCCGGGGAATATACCCACGGGTATATATACCCAGCCAAGACACCTGGAGCACTTACGATGTTATCAGAAGGCAGCTACTTGCGACCCCCCCCCCCCCTTCATCTTTCCTTAATCAAGGAGCTTTGTTTACATGTATTCGATTCTTATGAGCTTTGTCTGCAATGCCTCCATGATTAAAGAAAGATGTAGAGGTTTCGTAGCTAGTTGCCTAAATGCCTGGGTCCATAACGGGGCTCTTGTCAAAGTCCCGGATCATGTGCGGTGTAAGTCTACGGTTGATTTGTATATCATCCTAGCTAGGTTCGGCTAGGATGAGTTTTAATTCAACACTAAATTAATTAACGATGATTGATTGATGAAGATTAAGCCACCCAAGAGGTGGCACGGGCATGAATAGCCGGTAAGTGGTGGCCCTTTCGAGCCATTACCAGTATCAAAAGATGATACTGGAGATCTGTGGAGGCGCAACTGCACCCTGCGTGACGGGAGATGTCTCCTTAACTAACGAACCGTCTTATGCACTTAAATGACGGACATACCTGTAATGGAACCCCTTTGTACCTCACCCATTATCCTGCCCAACCACTCGGGCTGGACGATAGAGCGAGGGTCTCGCTTCATGCAGGTCGGCGTTCAATCCCCGACCGTCCAAGTGGTTGGGCACCATTCCTTTCCCCCCCCCCCGTCCCATCCCCAAATCCTTATTTTGACCCCCTTCCCAGTGCTATATAGTCGTAATGGCTTGACGTTTTACCCCTGATAATTCCCCTCCCTCACCAACCCTCACCATATAACAACCACCTTGATATAACACTAGCGCCATAGACTCTACAGTAACGCGAAATAACTCGCTCTTGTGTAAGAGAGGCTCTTTGTTGACAATTAACATTTTAGAAGCTGGAGAGAGAGACGAGGCTGAGAGTGAGTGACCTCCGGATGGTTTCTTGTCCTCCTGCAGACAAGAGCGAGTGCCGGCGGTGCGTGAAGGCTCTGCAGGAGCTGGAGAACGTGGACGACGACGCTGACCAGTTGGGCATCGCCTTCGTCAAGATCAACGACCCCGATCTCGCGGACGAGTACTCCCTGGGTGCTCTGCCCGCTCTTGTTTACTACCGCAGACGGATCCCTGTTGTGTACGATGGTAGGTGGTGGTGGTGGTGGTGGTGGTGGTGGTGGTGGTGTTGTGGTGGTGGTGGTGGTGGTGGTGGTGGTGTTGATGTTGTGGTGGTAGTACTGGTGGTGGTGGTGTTGTGGTGGTGGTGTTGTGGTGGTGGTGGTGGTGTTGATGTTGTGGTGGTAGTACTGGTGGTGGTGGTGGTGGCCGTGGTGTTGATGTTGTGGTGGTGGTGGTGGTGGTGATGGTGATGGTGTTGGTGTTGTGGTGGTGGTGGTGGTGTTGATGTTGTGGCGGTAGTGGTAGTACTGGTGGTAGTGGTGGTGGTGGTGGTGGCCGTGGTGTTGATGTTGTAGTGGTAGTACTGGTGGTGGTGGTGGTGGTGGTGGTGGTGGTGGCTATGTTGGTGTTGATATGGTAGTGGGAGTCGTGGTGTGGTGGTGGTGTTGAAAACGATGGTGGTGGTAGTGGTTGTAGTTGTGGTAGTAATGGAGGTGCCAGACACAAAGGCTTTAACCTACGCTGTCGACAACATTGGCAAAAGTTTGTGTCATGTTCAAGATTTAACATTTAACCAAAACATTTAACCAAAATTATATCTATTTACATACTTTCAGGTAATCAAATTATAGCGTGATTGCACTGAAATCCAATTTTGACTTAAATATATGAAGTTCAAATGTTTCAAAGATATTTACATTATTATTGGGTATTTGCGTTGGTAAGAGGAGCTGGTTAAATGAAAAAAATTATTTTGGGGATTTTTTGGGAGGGATTTTTGGGATTTCTTTGTATATAGGAGTATGTTGTGTCGACATTGACCAGGAAGCAACCCCCCTTTCCCTCCGAGCCGCCCAACCCAAATCTGGGGCCAGATTCACGAAGCAGTTACGCAAGCACTTACGAACCTGTACATCTTTTCTCAATCTTTGGCGGCTTTGTTTACAGTTATTAAACAGTTAATGAGCTCCGAAGCACCAGGAGGCTGTTTATAACAATAACAACACTTGAATGGTAAGTTTTCATGCTTGTAAACTGTTTAATAAAGTAACCAAAGCCGTCAAAGATTGACGAAAGATGTACACGTTCGTAAGTGCTTGCGTAACTGTTTCGTGAATCTTGCCCCAGGTTCGTAAGTGCTTGCGTAACTGTTTCGTGAATCTTGCCCCAGGTTCGTAAGTGCTTGCGTAACTGCTTCGTGAATCTTGCCCCAGGTTCGTAAGTGCTTGCGTAACTGCTTTGTGAATCTGGCCCCTGGAGGAAAAGATGTAGAGTGGTTGCTTAAAAGCTTAAAAAAAACAAAAATGGCGACGGCATTGCTAACCCAGTGTGTGTACTCACTTAGTTGTGCTTGCGGGGCGGTTAAGCTCTGGCTCTTTGGTCCCGCCTCTCAACTGTCAATCCACTGGTGTGTTGCAGGCGACCTGATGAACGAGGACAAGGTGCTGGAGTGGCTGGTGGAGAACAAGAACACGGGCGACGACGATGACATGATTGACGACGTGACGCTGGGGCTTCTTAACACCCTGATCGACTCCCTCGACCATCTCGCCGTCGTCTTCTGTAGGTTGGGGGGGGGGGGGGGAGGGAGGAGGGGGCGCATGCGCGGCCTCAGGCTCGCCTGTTGTCTTATAGCCCTTCTGTTGTATTTCTTCATTATATATACTCTCCCTTACACTGCTTGATTATACTTATATCTTTTCATTATATACTTCTTTATACTGCTAGTTATACATCATTATACTATCTTATATTGCTCCATTATGTTACCTTGTACTACTCCATTATACTACCATTATATTTCATTATTCTCCCATATTCCCCTCGATTATACTCCCATATACCCCTCTATTATACTCCCATATACCGATGATTATACTCCCTGATACTGTTTGATTATACCAATTCCACTTCATTATGTCCATTCCACTTGATTATACCCCCTTCATATAGCTTCGTTATACTCACTTCTAACATATAAGGGTTGACTAGTTACTGAGCATAAACTGTTCGCCCCTGGTCATCCAGCAGTAATTAGAGACCTGGTTGTAAATAGATAGGTAGGTTGTGTTCCAAGAAAAAGTAACAGGTGATGAATAATGTGACAGTGTCTGACCACGAAGGTAGGATTAAGACAGGTATTTCCTTAAGTACTTTCGTATTTAATAATCTATCTTCAGAAGGATCCTTCTGAAGATGTGTTATTAAATACAAAAGTATGTATGGAAATTCCTGTCTTAATTCTTCTTTCGTGGTCTGACACTGTCATATAATATATATATATATATATATATATATATATATATATATATATATATATATATATATATATATATATATATATATATATATATATATATATATGACAATGTCAGACCACGGAGGAAAAATGAAACAGGAATTTCCTTAAGTACTTTCGTATATTAAATACATCTTCAGAAGGTCAAGTACATTTAATATACGAAAGTACTTAAGGAAATTCCTGTTTCATTTTTCCTCCGTGGTCTGACATTGTCACATTGTTAATCACGTGTTTATTTTCGTGATATACACACACATATATATATATATATATATATATATATATATATATATATATATATATATATATATATATATATATTTATATATACAGTATATAATATTATTAACAAGTGGATTAAATTGAAACTGATCTTGCTCAGAGTATAACGACGTTAATAACTTATTATAAATGACAGGAAATATGAGAGATAACTTAAAGTAGAACAAATAATACGATGTATACATTTGGATGATATCTAACATTAACTAAATATAGCATGCAAATGCAGAATTGCGCCCCACAGTCTCTGTGCATTATATATTTACAGATTCTGGGGGTAGTCTGGAATGTGTTCATTTTGAACACCCGGCTCTTGTAATTGGGGATATGATTTCAAAGAGGATTTGAAATGCATGTTAGCAGGCATCTTTGTGACAGTAATTGCTCTTGAACGTCGACTTTCGTCCATCTTCATTTCTGTCTTTCATACTTCTTCATCTCACCATCTTGATTTCCACCTTTCAGCCATTTTAAGCTCCACCTTTCATTCATCTTAAGGTCCATCTTTCATCCGTCTTAAGCTCCACCTTTCATCCATATTAAAGCTCCACCTTTCATCCATCTTAAGCTCCATCTTTCATCCGTCTTAAGCTCCACCTTTCATCCATCTTAAAGCTCCACCTTTCATCCATCTTAAAGCTCCACCTTTCATCCATCTTAAAGCTCCACCTTTCATCCATCTTAAAGCTCCACCTTTCATCCATCTTAAAGCTCCACCTTTCATCCATCTTAAAGCTCCACCTTTCATCCATCTTAAAGCTCCACCTTTCAATCATCTTAAAGCTCCACCTTTCATCCATCTTAAAGCTTCACCTTTCATCCATCTTAAAGCTCCACCTTTCATCCATCTTAAAGCTCCACCTTTCAATCATCTTAAGCTCCACCTTTCACCGACTTAAGCTCCAACATTCACCCATCTTCAGCACCACCTTTACTTCGGAGTTCCACATTTCACTGGAGCTGCTGCACCTTTCACCTTGTTTAAGTTCCCGGTCTTGGGTCAAAATTTCTGATTTACCTTCCCCCCTCCCCCTGTCAGCCATAGACAGTCTTGGGCCCTATCTTATCTTGAGGTTATCTTGAGATGATTTCGGGGCTTTTAGTGTCCCCCGCGGCCCGGTCCGCGACCAGGCCTCCACCCCCAGGAGGCAGCCCGTGACAGCTGACTAACACCCAGGTACCTATTTTACTGCTAGGTAACAGGGGCATAGGGTGAAAGAAACTCTGCCCATTGTTTCTCGCCGGCGCCCGGGATCGAACCCGGGACCACAAGATCACAAGTAGAAACTAAGTACTGTACCCTAAGTAGAAATCACTATTAAACTCCCAGATGCACCTCCTTTGGATCCCGAGTCGATAACTAACTCACGCCCTCGGTGTCGGGTGGAGTCGCACCTCCACAGATCTCCAGTATCATCTATTGATACTGGTGATAGCTCAAAAGGGCCACCACTTACGGGGATATTCATGCCCGTGCCACCTTTTGGGTGGCTTAATCTTCATCAATCAATCATCACGCCCTCACTCCCGCAGACGACCGCGACGAGACGGACGACACGCAGATCCTTCAGGAGTTGGAGAACATCGATGACGAACTCGACGCTCAGGGCATTCACATCGTCAAGATCGCCGACGATGTCGCTGCCCGCGAGTACGGCATCGAGGACACACCCTCTCTTGTCTACTTCGAGAACGAGGTCAGTACCCCCTTTCCCCTTCCATGACCGAGAACTCCAACCCTTTCAACCGTTTGTCTTGTGGCTGTCAACATATCGCTAATATAGATACCAGTAGACTCGCGTAGATGCCTCTACCCAAACATAATGGAATTTCTAGTGTTTTAGACTTGATTTGGCTCTAGTCATACTCTTGATATTAGTGCCTGGCTTTACCACCTCGATTCACAGGCTTCTTCTTGTTCCTTGAGTGTAATAGTATATCCCTCGGAGGTATATATGACCCTATATATATATATATATCTCTCTCTTCCTCTTTCCTCCCACTAGATGGCACCAGCGTTGCGAAGGGTACCTTCATTTTCCTCTTTAGTTATTCACTCTCCTCTTTAGTTATTCATTCACTGCTTCCTGCGTGACGCAAAGGCAGCCAACCCTTCTAAAATGTTGATTTGACGCTAACATACACGCAAGTTGCAGGAGTATTGATATTACAGCAAGCTGTAAGAGTATTAACATTACAGCAAGCTGTAAGAGTATTGATATTACAGCAAGCTGTAAGAGTATTGATATTACAGCAAGCTGCAGGAGTATTAATATTACAGCAAGCTGTAAGAGTATTCATATTACAGCAAGTTACAAAAATATTAATATTACAGCAAGCTACAAAAATATTAATATTACAGCAAGCTACAAGAGTATTAGTAACAGTTTATAGCCTTAGCAGAAGCCATTATAATAGCATTAATTGTTACAATGATCCCATTAATGTTATGAATGTATTAATAATAATTAAAATAATACTTTCAATAAGAATAAAAAAATAATTAAGATAATAATAATAAAGCACACTGGGGTGATGCATGAAGGAGAAAGTCAGTTGGCATTTGTCTGGTGATCTTCAAGATGCTGGTACAAAGGCCCATAAGGCTCCAACTCTTTCTTAATGATAATAATGTACACACAAATTCTTAAACAAATATAAACACTAATTAATAGTAAACACTGCAAATAATTAAAAGAAATATATATATATATATATATATATATATATATATATATATATATATATATAATAATAAGTAGATAATTTTAATATTCAGGTTATGTGGGTAAATTGAAGGTATTTGTGAAATGTATCCAGCTAATGTCTGCAGCATCTGGCTAGTGTCTGCAGCATCTAGCTAGTGTCCGCAGCATCTAGCTAGTGTCCGCAGCATCTAGCTAGTGTCCGCAGCATCTAGCTAGTGTCCGCAGCATCTAGCTAGTGTCTGCAGCATCTAGCTAGTGTCCGCAGCATCTAGCTAGTGTCCGCAGCATCTAGCTAGTGTCTGCAGCATCTAGCTAGTGTCCGCAGCATCTAGCTAGTGTCCGCAGCATCTAGCTAGTGTCTGCAGCATCTAGCTAGTGTCCGCAGCATCTAGCTAGTGTCCGCAGCATCTAGCTAGTGTCTGCAGCATCTAGCTAGTGTCCGCAGCATCTAGCTAGTGTCCGCAGCATCTAGCTAGTGTCTGCAGCATCTAGCTAGTGTCCGCAGCATCTAGCTAGTGTCTGCAGCATCTAGCTAGTGTCCGCAGCATCTAGCTAGTGTCCGCAGCATCTAGCTAGTGTCTGCAGCATCTAGCTAGTGTCTGCAGCATCTAGCTAGTGTCCGCAGCATCTAGCTAGTGTCCGCAGCATCTAGCTAGTGTCTGCAGCATCTAGCTAGTGTCCGCAGCATCTAGCTAGTGTCTGGAGCATCTAGCTAGTGTCTGCAGCATCTAGCTAGTGTCCGCAGCATCTAGCTAGTGTCCGCAGCATCTAGCTAGTGTCCGCAGCATCTAGCTAGTGTCTGGAGCATCTAGCTAGTGTCTGCAGCATCTAGCTAGTGTCCGCAGCATCTAGCTAGTGTCCGCAGCATCTAGCTAGTGTCTGCAGCATCTAGCTAGTGTCCGCAGCATCTAGCTAGTATAGGAACGACTCTACATGAATAGCTTCTTGTTCGTTATCATTGCTAGCATAATCAAACCAGAGATTCCCGGATCCTCGTGAATTCGAATTCGTTTAAATATCTATACATAAACTTACTATCTTTTATAGCCGTTTTCACGAGCGTTGGTCAATTGAAAACCTCACAAGCGAGATTAAGTCGACTTGAGAATGGTCCAGGACGGACCGAAACGTCGTCGTCCCTTCACCTTCTAGTGTGTGGTCTGGTCAACATACTTCAGCCACGTTATTGTGACTCCTCGTATGCAAGCAAGATTGAGCTTTAGTTGGGTCTCACCTGCCTCTCTGAGCAAGCTTTGGGATTTAACCCGCAGCTTAGAGGTCTGATTTAACTTAAATTGTTATGTTTGATAGTAATTCATCTTTTCTAAGAAAGTTTCAGTGTTGGGGGGAAATGATGAACTTCACAGTGGTCTATACGTCCGCGGGTCATGGCTGAGAATACCCAGGTTCGATCCCCAGGTTTGGCTGTCGGTTTAGCTAATACGTATCCAGGAATTTGAGAAGTTGCTGTATCCCAGAGCCTGTCGGCCGAGCGGACAGCACGCTGGGCTTGTGATCCTGTGGTCCCGGGATCGATCCCGGGCGCCGGAGAGAAACAATGGGCAGAGTTTCTTTCACCCTACGCCCCTGTTACCTAGGTGTAAAATAGGTACCTGGGTGTTAGTCAGCTGTCACGGACTGCTTCCTGGGGGTGGAGGCCTGGTCGAGGACCGGGCCGCGGGGACACTAAAGCCACGAAATCATCTCAAGATAACCTCAAGAAGATCCCGGGTAAGGTCGGCCGTTGACCTTCTGTCTCCCGACAACGGAAAACAAGGTGAGCCGTCTGTCTCGCCAGCTGGAGTGAGTATGGCGGCTCCACCTCGGTCTTTCCCGTCGGCCATTGATCGCCTCTTCCCCGTTTTCTTTTGTTTTACATCAAATTCACGTTGCTTCGAGTAGAGATTGTTTAATATCAAAATAAAGTGTGAACGTAATGATTTACAAAACGCGTAAGTATATTTATGTTCAATAAAGTTCTGTTGTGCTTTATTAGTTCAATTTGAAGGGTGGGTTCCTGTCTGATATTCCAGTGACTGCGTAGGTCTGGATAAACA